GACATGAGCCAATCTGCTTATTTCCATGTTCCCATTTTTTCTATAGGGATTTGGATTTGTGTGCTTCATAACTTCTGAGAGAGGGAAGAGACTTTTGAATAATGGGATGTACAAACAAATCACTGAAACTGAAATGAGGACTCGTTCTTCTTTCTTCTGCTCTGTTTTTGATATATGTTGCACTTACCTCTGGCTCTGACTGATGACAAACTTAAAATGACTTTGTCAGATTCTCTGGTAAAATTTCACACAAGAACCCAGCGGCCTAGCTATACAATCATCTGTTCCTAATGAAAAATGCAGTAACCTTTTCGTACAGGAACAAATCAAAGGCTGTATAAAGTGATTCAAGCAAAAACAATATTCAAACTTTTTTAATACACAAAAAGATCCAAATCCTCTGTAATCCATTGATCTGCATTTCCAGTGGAAACATATCATGTCGATAAGCAAATTAATGACACCAATCTTCATCTTTCATTGTCCCATTCTCAATGTAACGGCAGATTATAGATATCTACTAGTTTGGAATATAATAAAAACAACTTGATCTCTAATCTAAGCGGATAGAACCTAATGAAATTGGAAGAGAATGAGTCGCATGTGTTCAAAATCTGCAGAAGTCAAACTCACAAGTATCCAAAATGCTATGTTGATTATGAAATAAGTGAGAACAAAAAAAAAAAAGAAAATATGGTTCATCTTTCTATTTGTGTAGTTTGCGTTCTTTCCGGAACAACCATGTGAACTGAAGTTGCAGTTATGTTAAACTAATCAGCAGTTATATTAAAGTAATCAGAGATTAAAAATCAATTGAATAAGGTAATCAACAACAATTACGGCAATGTACTTTTAATGACCAAGTGGAATGTGGTTGTTAAACTATTCAAAGGCAAAAAGTACGGTATCCTAAGCTTCTCAAACGGAAACTAATGCTATAGAAAGGATACTTAGTAATATAATAAGCTAATAGCATAGTCACAGGAATATTCTTATGTAAACAAAGTAGCCTCATTATTAAGTTCACATGCATATTCATTCATCTCAAAAGAGTACGGCAAATCAGAAGGACTAATTTGACCATTCCATAAACCTATCAAAGATTCAAGAAAAGGAGAGAGATGTTCATGATTAATGAGGGTCAAAGTCAAAACAGAAACACCAAGATTTGTGATCCGATAAAACGGAGAAGGCCACATGACATCTGTACCTGATTAATACCATCTAAACTACTAATAGCCAAATACATGTGCATTTATCTCTTGAACCTGATATCGAAGATAATGAATAAGAAACTTAGAGAAACAGTTGCCGGTTTCATAAAGACAGCAAGACACAGCAGCAGATTAACAAGAACAACCATACATGCCTTTACAATCATTAACACCGTTATGACACGCAGTTTTCTGCTTTAAAGATAGGTGTTGAGGTTGTAAGCTAAACGACAAGGGGGTTCCTACTTTTAAGGCATAAAATGCATATAAAGAGTTAGCTTTAGACATGAACAAAGAGATCAATGCAGAAGCCAAGGCAATCCTGATTAAGAAACTGATACAATGTTGGTTATACATATGGCTAAATTGGATATTCAAGCTTGGCAAGTAACACAACAGTTATACATATATAACAATTGGGAAAAGAAGGGAACCTGAAACTTCAAATGTGTCAATGAATTGAAGAAGAGTGTTGAAGCCATAGAAGCTTTAGAACAAAAGTTCATCGCCGTCTTCTGGATTAGGAAATGTGACACACTTGAACACTTTACACTTTTTACACAACACATATCCAACCTGTTAACATTATTCAAGTTCACCAAAATCAGAGAACCATTTCATAGCTTCACTCATACATACATTTCTATCATCAGTCACCAAAACCCAAAAAACTGAGTACAAATCACAAAACAAAATGTAGGTTTGTAGTGGAACTATTATGACTACTTACAGCTCTACAAGATGGGCATCGACGATAGATTCTCTTGTTCTCAGATTTCACATTTGTTTTCTGTCCTTTACAGAAATCGCAGAGCAACCATCCTTTCCCATTACAGTCCTCACACAAAATCACTGCCTCGTCGTCTCCCTTCACGGCAAAATTCTTCAATCAATTTGTCGAATCAAAACAATCCGATTCTCAGTTTCATCGAATTTTCATTTGGTACCTGCGACTGCGACTGCTCGAGCTGGCGCTCTTGTTCCTGAAGTGGAACGCATCGAAATGGCTTGAAGAGACAACGGCGACGTCGATGCGACGGGAATGACACCGGCGACGGCGATGATGATGGCGTGAGCCGTAAATAAAATGAATTCGGAGGCTGTAATGCTATCCACGTCGCCATTTTGCTTTCTTCACCAATCCAACTTCCCGTCACAGTTTGTTCTCAACACAAATTCCGCGGTTTACAAGTAACTATTGGGCCGTAAATGGGTCAATTCAAGGCCCATTAACAGATGCTTTGACTGGTGGTCTTTGTAACTAGACTATCCTGTTTCCATTTGTTCTTCATTTTGCATTTTGACTCCATACCATCTTGCATTTTTCTTCTTAACCAAGAAGTTTCGAGGCTAGACTCATAATCTCTTCCTTGGACCGGCAAGAAAGCAGGTTAATTTAGTCGTCTCCCCTGTCTTCGGTGCTCGACTTCAAAACTTTCTCGGCTCTTCTTTTCAGTGGTCATGTTATACACTGATTGAGCTATCGAAGCTAGATAACATCTTGGTTTTGTTTTGAGAATCCGAGGAATTTGTGGTCCATTTAACACAAAAATTTCCAAACGCATAACCACTATTGTCGCAAATTCATAAATTGTACTTCATTCGTCTCAAACATAGCATGACTGACCATACTAAAAGTCATGGCAATTGAGCTCCTCTAAGAGATAAATCAAACAAACAGTCGAGCCCGTAGTATTTATAATAACATACAATATAACACAAAGATCTGCAGCTGTTTTTCTTATATCACAGAACGCAAGTGCTAATACGCAAGTATTCATGACGAAGAACCCGTCCTATAGAATTTTATGAATAGCAAAGTAGACAATAATCTATTGACCAAATCTATTCTTTTCCATTGATGAACAAATACCAAATGCCATCTACTAACTAAGTCATGGTCTCAGATTCAGGTAAGTTCATCTCTTGTGCAAATTCTTTAGTCATCTTCAAGAAACCTTCCATGTGAAGTTGCTTCCATTCCTTAGGAAAATAACAATTCAAACAAGTCATGATCCAAGAGAACCGTAAAATGAGCTAATCTATTCAGTCAAGTTAAGACATCTCACCTCGAATTCCCATGTACCATAGAGATCAGGATCATCTTTCTTGGCCCAGACATAAGTCTTCGTTTCAAGTTTCTCCGAGCTATCCTGTGGATTTGAAGAAAAAGGATTCAAATTTCTCTGCTTTTTTCAATGAATCAGCTTATAATCTGGAACTGGACTCACTGGTAGCAAAACTTGGACATTTTCTCTTTCATACTCGATATCTTCAAACTCATCTAAAAGGTAGAGTTCATCATCTGTGATTCCAAATAGTACCTGCATAATAATCAAATTCCCCCAAATCTCTAATAAGAAATTAAAAGAGCGAGAATCTGATTCGAATCTACATCATCGATCTTCGACCTTGCCGTGGACTTTGTCGGCCTGAACTGGAAGAATCGCGGGGTAAACACGTCCTTTGATGCTAAATCGATGGCTGCAAAAAACCCCCAAAATCCACCATCAATTTCCATGGAAATCAGTTTTCAACAACACAAATCGATCAG